GGTGCATTCTTAATAAGAAAATTTTCTAAAAAACCCACGAGTGTCGTAAATACGTGTGTCGAGCGAAATTTAAATAAAACAAATTACTAAATTCTAAATGAAACTTTTATAGAGCTACAAAAAATCGTTATTAGACATATTTACGGTAGAAAATGCAGTAATATTCTTGCAGAGAAGACTGTGTTATGTGATAGCAGATTAACGAACGTTTTCGACTCTTCCCTAAAGCGTTAAATACACTACGCAGATGACAGCTTCTGCCTACGTCAATGTAGCTTTTCTAGCTTTGCTTTCAAGTACCTTACCCTACATGAATGTGTCACGAACTATTGGAAGGAACGTGTCAATAATAAGAATGAAAAATCCACTGACAAAGTTTGAGTTTTAAGATTGAACTCTAGAAGAGCAGGGCGCAATATCATATAGCCAAAGTAATAAAAGCAATAAATATAGCAGACAATAAAACATTCATTGCATTCCTTATAGTTTAGAAAAGCAATATCTTTTTCTATGTTGTAACATGACAGAAAACTTATGCATATTTATATATTAGAGAAAGAACCAAATAATTTAAGTTAATATTCTAATAAATCTTTCAGATTAATTTATTAACAGCCTTCCACGATAAAACTAATGCATGAAGTTAATGGCTTAAGTTGTGTAATTTAGAACAAATGTTATATAAAATACAAACATTACGCATTGTACGAAGCATAGATTTATTAGAGTTACTTATTCCTTATTGAAATTCAAGAGTCACTGAAATGGAGACAGTCGGATATTTTATAATTGAGTTTTAAAGGAATGAAAAACAAACAGATAATTTTCCAATTGATGACTCTGTTAAGCCAGAATATGACCAGTCTAACCTGTCAAGAGTGGCATTTTCATGACTGCGTAGCTTATCTATTACAGGCTGAATTCCCAGCATTAGAAACTCGTATCTGAGATGTAGACGAAACTCCAAATGCTCTTGTCCAGGTCCGTAGTTGATAATGGCATTGATAAAGGACATGATGGCTGTTTTTAGGCCTACCTCTTCCCTATACACCCCGGTGCTCCTGTCCAAATCGTTGACTATAGTCTTGGTGATAAAAAGAATTATTAAGTCAGATTATACTGAAGCAAGGTTTACAATTAAACACCAAAGTCCAGAGTTTTAATTTGTTTTTTCTTTCTTTTGCTTTTAGTAAATAAATGTATACCAGAAATGACATAAGAAATAGGAGTACAGCAAAATCTTTATTTTTTGTTTTAATCTTACTGTACCTGCATAGTTCGACAAATGGTTAGAAAGAATTAAAATAGAAGTATTTTTTATATTGGGCAGTTTATTTATTTTTTAATTAAAAGGTAAAACGAACATTAAATTTAGGTAATATGAACTTTAAAACTAAACAGTGCTCTTTAAACAAAGCAACAAACTTACTTTTTACAAGTAACATCTAACTGCTTTACAGCGAAGTTTTGGAATACTTTTATAAATATAAATTTTATCTATTATTTCAATTTGATAAGTTGTCTAAATCGACAATATAAAGAAAACATATTCTATTATAATTACACTGAGTTTTCGTCTGTCCTAAGAATGCGCGCACTTCGTTTCAACGGATGTAAACAAAATGCGAATGTAAATATATTTCAGTAGACATTTTTTACAGCAACATATTAAAAGTTTATAAAGTTTTTAAAAAGGTCTAACGCTAGGTCGTACAATAACAGTATAAGTTTATTCATTGATAGAAATCCTGTACTTAAAGAAGATTTGTTGCAAAAAAAGATATTAGTTTGACCACAAATGTTTCGCAGGTCTTTGCTAGTATACAAATAAAACATGACTTCCTCTGAACTTATACCTGGAATCTTGTTCTTTCGTAGGCAAACTTCTGAAAATAGAGCATTGCTTCAAGAATCTTTCGATGACCACCAGGAACTAAACAGACGGCTCCCAAAATTTCCAGAACTGCGGTTTTTGTCTTAACATTATCTACAGCAAGGCTTTGAGCAATGGCATTGATAGCATTTGAATGTGCCAAAACGTAAGACCTCCCACTCTGAAAAATAACGCATAAATTAATTTATACTTTAAAAATTGTCTGTATTATTCTAGAATAATAACATAGGTACGATTGTATAGACATAATCTATCAGCCAACCCCTTTGTTTTGAAATGATAGCTTAAAAGAAGGTTATTTGGCTAACATAATAATGATTTAATCAACAGACAACTCACCGAGTTATTCATCAGTGCTTTTACACAGCCAATTAAAGACGTGTGGATAGCACTTTCTGACGTATCGTAGTCCATATTAGTTAAAAAATTTAGCAAGCACACCAATCCATCTTGCTCCAGGAATCTCATCACGAAACTTGGAAGGAAAAGATATATTTATTTTTATATTTGTGCATTAGATATGATAAATCGTACGTTCACAAACTTTTATTCAAACTAGTAAAAACAAAGAGAGAGAGATCACTTGTTGTTCTTTGGTTAGGCTTAGTTTCAGCATAGAAAATTCGGCGATATTTTTTATTTAACTGAAATCCGAAGTAAGACTATCATGTTACTTCAGTTTGAAGCAGACGATTCTTTACAGAAGTCTATTTACCAAAATATGTAAACTGTAAACATTTTTGTTTGTTCTTTATCGGACGCCCTGTGATTCACAGCCACTAGACGTGTAATCTTAGGAAATTAACTTTCAGGATCTAGTAAGTATTAAAAAAGAAATGAATGTGAGCCAATTGAATTTTAAAAAATACGTATGTAATTTTGCACAAAATATAATTAAGCAATAAATAAACAAATGTTTTTGAAATACTACATTCTCGAATTTCTCTTATTTCAGTTAAAAATATACATGAAAAGCAAAACCCACTTGAATGTATTAATTGACATTTTATAAAACAAACAAACTAGAAGAAAACAACAACAATACAATCTGCGTTTTGATTTCCATTTTGTTTGTTCTGTATCAGACGCCCTGTGATTCACTGTCACTAGAAAGAAAACAAACAGCTGACAACACCAGCTTTCCAAAGCGGGACTGACAGGCTGTCAGTTTAACACATCCGCAGCTGAAAGTGTCAAGCGTGTTTGGTAGTCTCGATCCGGAGACCTTTGGATTTCCAGTTCATAAGGTTAAGCAGTAGTTCCAGCTTTGATTCCATTGCATCTTGACTTAAGCATCAGAAACTACCAGTTTTAAAAGTAATACTAGTACATGTATGCTTTTTAAAATGATCAAGGTACAATCAAACTGATTTCTTAATTTGGAAATCTAGATATAATGTGAAAATAATCTTTGTGGGCTATTTGTTTCTCACCCGCTTTTTTATTCTTATCGTAATGCATTTGCTAAATATTAGTATTTTCTTATAAAGAAAATAAAATGCGTGTTAACAATGTCAGTCATTTTCAAAAATTAAAATAGAAGATTTTATTTTAAGAGGCTTCAATATTTTTTAATGTTGCTTATGATTATATGGTAACATGGTTGTTGCTTATGATTATATGGTAACATGGTTGTTGCTTATGATTATATGGTAACAGGGTTGTTCTTAATAATATAATCTATCATGCCTCTCAGATGAACTTTGGCTTCGTAAATAGACATTAATTGGAGCTTGGTTGACAAAATACCTGTTTGGTTGTGTACGCAACGCTGTTTTGAGGTTATCCAGAAGCTTGGCTCGAACTGTAATTTCTTCCTCTTCTCGGGGAAAGAGGAGCTGGGACGACAAATGAAGAAATTAATATTAAAAAAAAAATAGTTGTAGCTCATAAACTTCGTGTGATATCAGGATATTATTAATGATATTATTTTATAACACTACATAATACACCACAGTTACAACTATATTTGGGTTTGATCAACAGCACCTCCTAATGATAAAAACGTGAAATATTATTGGTCAATTTTTCCAGAACTATAGTCAAGTACACGAGTTCATTCAAAACACCATTATGTTTAAAAGATTTATTTTTGTACGTTTCTTTACTGTATAAAAGTTTTTGGTGAAACATAATAATAAAAAGGTAAATTGAAAATAAGTTTATGTCCTATCTTCCAAAACAGCAATCCTAGGAACAGAATTACTGTAATGAAATGTCTCGTTCAAGAGAAGCAGTGTAAATTGTTGTTTACAGAGTTAAAAAGGGATGTATTGGTAATTTTCTTCGCTTTACTGGTGCGTTGGTTTAATTTTATACTCTTCTGTCAACATGTAAAAAGAAAAACCTTCTTAGGGTTAAATCATTGTTTGTTTGTTTGTAATTAATCACAAAGCTACACAATTGGCTATCTGTGCTCTGCCCACCACGGGTATCGAAACCCGGATTCTAGCGTTGTGAGCCCGCAGACATACCGCTGTGCTATTGGGCGGGCTAAATCATTGCTTCAAGGGCGATTAAATAGAATGCCACTTCAATATATTCTAGGTGTTCGTTGTTATTGGTAACATTAACCACCTCGATGTCAGTCCTCTGCTAATTAATCACAGCCAGATAGAGAAGAAGTACGTTTCGGTTTCGTTCCTTTGATTTCCATTGACTCTGTGAAGAGGTTATTGCGATTGCTTTTGTATATATATCTTTGTTTGTTTGTTTTCCTACACGAGGGCTATACTGCGCTAGCCGTCCCTAATTTAGCAGTAAAAGACAAGAGGGAAGGCAGCTAGTCATCACCACTCACTGCCAACTCTTGAGCTACTCTTTTAATAAAGATTAGTGGAATTGACCGTCACATTATAACGCTCCCACGGCTATAAGGACGAGCATGTTTGGTGGGACGGAGATTCGAACCGCCCTAACTCCCTGGCCATGCCGAGCCGGTTTTGTATATATATATATATATATATATATGTATATATGTTTTGATGAGAATTTAGATGTACTATTGCGAGTATTTATAAAGTATTCTTCTGGTTGTCGTCAAGTGATATTGTTTCGTTTCGTTGGTCACTCTGCCAGTACGTTTAAGTTTATTTTGTCAATAAATTTGAATTCAGTCATTCATCACGGCTATATTTTACCTTCACATTTCAGCATTGCTTGTTTCATTTATTGTCTATAACAATATCTTTTGTATTTTTACTTACTTATATAATAATTAATAAAGTTACCAATGTTCCTTATTTGTTGCACATCCTGCTTATTTCATTTATTGTCACTAACAACGTATTTTGTATTTACGTTTTTACTCGTACAGTGACTAAAAGAGTTACTAATGTTCCTCATTTGTTGCACATCCTGCTTATTTCATTTATTGTCACTAACAACGTATTATGTATTTACATTTTTACTCGTACAATGACTAAAAGAGTTACTAATGATCCTCATTTGTTGCACATCCTGCTTATTTCATTTATTGTCACTAACAACGTATTATGTATTTACATTTTTACTCGTACAATGACTAAAAGAGTTACAAATGTTCCTCATTTGTTGCACATCCTGCTTATTTCATTTACTGTCCATAGGAATGTCGTTGGTAATTACTTTTACAATGATTAACAAAGTTACTAGTGTTCCTTATTTATTGCACATCCTGCATATTTCATTTTGTCAGCTCATACATCTTGAGCATCCGTATCTTAAACTTCTCTGAGGATCTAGCTACTTGTCGATGAATAGCAATGAAGCAGCAAGACGTTGTTGTTACACCATTCCTCACTAAGAACCAATTCCGACTGGTTTCAAAAATACCCAATACAATTCCGTGGCAACAAATTAACAAGTAATTTGGAATAAAATAAAATTGTTATATCTTGAAAGATACCCTCACGAGAGGAAGTATAATTGATTCACCATAAGGTGAGTCTGTTATGCTATGATATTCATGAAGATATTATGGCTGTTATGATGCTTTTCAGTGCAATGAATGGACTAAATCTGTGTCAAAAAATGTAGTATACCCTGTAACGAAAAAAGTATGGATGTTAACTCTTATGACTAAGTCACCTTTCATTATTATTCACGAGTCCACTATCTGTGGTCATCGCACCACTGCATGGGCTAACGTAATGTAGTAATGAATCACTTGTACATGACTTTCTATCACTACGATGTCCTAGATGACTAAACCCTTATTCTAGCATTTTCTTCAAGACATTTGTTTGTACCGTCCAACGTTTAGTACTGAACACGTTTTATTTTCTTTATAATGTATGCAGCGGTCCTGATAACACACGACAGTATTCCTAAGTGGATATTTTACCACTTGCAGTCCAGGCTCTGCTGTATATATGCACTTAGATACTACTGTACTAGACACATCTTCAGCCTGCTTAAGCTGCATCTGCCGGTGTGTGTGTGGGGAGGGGGGATGTTTCGAACATTTATACCTTTTCTTAACGCTTTACAATTTTTGTACAGAGCCATTGACGCATCATTGCTATTAGTTCAAATGTGAGAAAACGAAACAAATTAAAACTGGAAGAACTCAGTGATCATGTACATGCATGTTTTTAAAACTGGAAGAACTCAGTGATCATGTACATATATGTTTTTAAAACTGAAATAACTCAGTGATCATGTACATACATGTTTTTAAAACTGGAAGAACTCAGTGATCATGTACATGCATGTTTTTAAAACTGGAAGAACTCAGTGATCATGTACATACATATTTTTAAAACTGGAAGAACTCAGTGATCATGTACATGTTTTTAAAACTGGAAGAACTCAGTGATCATGTACATACATGTTTTTAAAACTGGAAGAATTCAATGATAATCTACATACATCTTTTTTTAAACAAAGGAACTTTTCTTTTTGCTCAATCAGTTTACTAAGTGGAAAATGTCTTCAGTTTCGGTGACTAGGAATTTCAGATAATACAGTAATCAACATGAAATACAGACTTCAAAAACCTAAATGTTATAGTCATTAAACATTTTAGTGACGATTAAAAACCTACGTGTTATAGACATTAAACATTTTAGTGACGATTAAAAACCTAAGTGTTACAGACATTAAACATTTTAGTGACGATTAAAAACCTACGTGTTATAGACATTAAACATTTTAGTGACGATTAAAAACCTACATGTTATAGACATTAAACATTTTAGTGACGATTAAAACCTACGTGTTATAAACATTAACCATTTTAGTGAAGATTAAAAACCTACATGTTATAGACATTAAACATTTTAGTGACGATTAAAAACCTACGTGCTATAGACATTAAACCTTTTAGTGACGATTAAAAACCTACATGTTATAGACAAATTAAACATTTTATTTACGATTAAAAACCTACATGTTATAGACATTAAACATTTTAGTGACGATTAAAACCTACATGTTATAGACATTAAACCTTTTAGTGACGATTAAAAACCTACGTGTTATAGACATTAAACATTTTAGTGACGATTAAAAACCTACATATTATAGACATTAAACATTTTAGTGACGAATAAAACCTACATGTTATAGACATTAAACATTTTAGTGACGAATAAAACCTACATGTTATAGACATTAAACATTTTAGTGACGATTAAAAACCTACGTGTTACAGACATTAAACATTTTAGTGACGATTAAAAACCTACGTGTTATAGACATTAAACATTTTAGTGACGATTAAAAACCTAAGTGTTACAGACATTAAACATTTTAGTGACGATTAAAAATCTACATGTTATAGACATTAAACATTTTAGTGACGAATAAAATCTACATGTTATAGACATTAAACATTTTAGTGACGAATAAAACCTACATGTTATAGACATTAAACATTTTAGTGACGAATAAAAACCTACGTGTTACAGACATTAAACATTTTAGTGACGATTAAAAACCTACATGTTATAGACATTAAACCTTTTAGTGACGATTAAAAACCTACATGTTATAGACATTAAACATTTTAGTGACGATTAAAAACCTACATGTTATAGACATTAAACATTTTAGTGACGATTAAAACCTACATGTTATAGA